CCTTCCAAGGAATATCACAACATTTCATTTCAGTAGCAACCTATCTTGAAAAAAGAATATGTACTTCCAAATTCCTGTTACTCACATGAAAAATATAGGATATGAACAATGACATTCAAAGGAAAACAAATTAGAAGATATCTTGTTTACAATTTATTTGGACCATAATTCATTCCACCCTTATTTTTCAGACCTTGTGACCTGAAGATGAATTTATAATCCCACAACAATGATGTAGCATAAATAAATAGATGAAACAATCCAGCAGTGACAAAAAGTATCAATGTGATTATCAATCAGTCACAGGGAGACAGGAAGGGGAAGCACCAACCATGCAGGCATATAGCTGCTAATTGGTCAATTACATTTGTTTGTAGCCAACCAGTAGCTATTAATTAGGCATTGCTGGTTTCACTCTTCTTGGGCTTATTCTCATTGCCTTGTTGCCAGAACAGACCCACAACCATTATTTAAGATAGGAACAGATGGTGTTACCCTCTATTTACCCTCTACTCACCATGAATGCAACGTTCAGCATGCTTTCCTGTTACACTTTTAAAGTACTCTTTTCCCACTATGTCACCTCAGATGCTTCTATCTATATGGCTAGAGCAGTATACTCCCTTACAAGCTAACCACAGCAGTTCATTGGCTACTGCACAGAGGTAGAAACATCCCCTCAATTGAGTCAATACTGTAGTTCAAGGGTGTCAAACTGGCAGCCCACAGGCAGGATACGTCACACACAGGCCACACCCACCCCAGCTCAGTAAAGGAGGAAAATGTCGCGATACATCACATGACGGCAACATGACGCTGCAAGTTTGACATCCGTGCTGTAGTTGCTCTGATCTTATATTTCCTGGATAGTTTTCCTATTACAGTAGTACAATTAGCATATAGAATGTTGCCAGTTGATTTTTTTAAAAGTCGTATTTGTCTTTCTCTGAACCAGCTAGCTTTTCCCCTGGGCTTTAAAAAAAATAGAAAAATCCAGCAATGAACCATTTCATTGTTTCTTCTGACCCTTGAAGTTAAAATGTTTTGCAACTTGGGAAACAATGAAGCAAATGCCCATAGAAATATTTTAAACATAAATAAACATTAAGTATGCAGCGAGAAGGTGGGGACTTTTTACGAACTAATTTGGAAAGCAGTAGTGAGACTTCTCTTTAGATACTTAACTAATTTAGGGTATGCACTCTAAAAAGCTGGTACAGCATATCTTTGATACCTCGTAGTGTAATAAAGGCACGATAAGATACGGGGAACAAATCTCAGTATCTTTAGAGATAATGGTAGACAAACATTACTAGGCACAGGAAAAGGTTCCTCTGAGTACACCCTCATTTCTTCTGTGAAAATCTCTGCAACATAATTTTCATGATTGTTTTTCAAGTTAAACCATAAAAAGTTACCATCCGCATCCTGTTTCTATGTGTATATGTCATTTCTGGGTCTCATAGTGAACTATATATATATTGGACATTTTAAAATAGAGATATCCACATGCAATTCAAACAGCTTAATATTGTTTTGGACTGTACCATTTCTAAGTGGCTAAGGGGAGCCTAGTCTTTGCTCCCTACTCTCTAATTACTGTAAATGAATTTTTTGTTTGTTTACATTTCAATCCCTTTTTAATGCTTTACATATATTTGCACTAGAAAATGGCTTAAAGAAATAAATATTAGATAACTTTCCCATGGAAGCTACCTATGTAGTCTTCACTCCACTTCATTTATTTATTTTATTATTTATTTATCTGATTTATATAGCCACCATTTCACCAAAAGCAATTCTGGGAGGCACAAAATAATCAGATAAAATAATAACAGTATAAAATATAAAAAGTCATATTAATAAATATCATAAAAACCAAAGAGCTATGTTAGTTCAGAGCTTAACTGCCTACATACATACATTCTTCCTTCTTTGTGCTTTCACTTGTTTCTTGCTCTGAATTTTACCCTTATTTTAAGGATATTTGTCTGAAAACACCAGCTGCCTGCAATTGCTGCAAATTCAAATCTCACCAGACTCAAGGTTGACTCAGCCTTCCATCCTTTCGAGGTAGGTAAAATGAGGACCCGATTTGTGGGGGCAATAAGCTGACTTTGTATTAAAAAAAAGAACACCGCTTAATGGGGGCCGAAAGCCCTACTAAGCAGGTATATACAAAAGTATGAAGGCTATTGCTTAACAAATTGTAAGCTGCCCTGAGTCTCCGGAAAAGGGCGGCATATAAATCAAACCAATAAATAAATAAACAATAAAATGTTTGGCTATATCACAGCTGTCAAACTCGCCACATCACATTGCCATTACGTGACATTTCGTGACATTTTCTCCATTCGCAGAGCTGGGGTAGGCGTGGCCTGCGCATGACACATCCGGCCTATGGGCCGCCAGTTTGACACCCCTGGGTTATTTAAAGGCACATATCAATGCAAATGTATAACTGTTTTACATTCTAAATCTGAAAGTGCATTTGGCTTGGTCATAATAAAAAATACACCATGAAATTACACACCTTCTACAATTACCAAATAACTAGCTATGTCAGTCTGTTGCAAGGAAAACAGCAAAGAAACTTTGTAAATTTATTGTGGTGTTCACTATTCTGGACTACAGAAAGTTTATGTCATAATGAAATTAGTCGTTATAACACTACAAGATTCTTTGCTGATTGTGAAATTAATATTTATACACTAGATTAGCATAGCAGTGTTATTTTCATTACCATGCTACATACATCTATTTCATTCTATCAAAACAATTTTTTTTTCTCCTGAAAAATGCTGGCAGGCATGTAATTTCAATTCTATCTTCCTTTGGACCTCATTCCCTGTGAGTATTTATAATCAGATTCAATAGGCAACATGCTGTATTACAGAAATCATTTACATTCATGGGGGCAGATACGGAAAACATAAATCTGAGAGTCCTCAGTCACTTTGTATAGAACAAAGTGAAAGGCAAACTGAAAAAAGGAAAAGTTTCCTTAGGTTCCTTTAATTGGGGTGGAAATATTTGACTTCTAGATGTACAATTGGACAATTTGTATACTTAATCTGAAAAGTCTCTAAAGCTGTTTTAAAGTGCAGTGATAACATAAAAACTCTCCGGCAAACAACTTAAGTTTTCCTTTTAAGTCTGAATCAAGACCCATGAACTTTACCTCCATGTCATTCCCCAGAGTCAGCAAACTATAGTAATACAAATAAAAGCCATTGATAACTACAAATCTGTGTTTTATCTCCATTAATAATTGAGATCACAAATGCTGCCCTTTCAATTACTATAGGAGGATTTCGTTTTTTAAAAGAAAAGTTTTTCCTGTTTGCATATGCCACCATTCTAATTGCTTTACTCCCACTATTTTCATCATCTTGCTATAAAGAAATTCCTTTACCCCAAATCCAAATGAGTTCTTGAGACAAAATATTTTGGGCTTGATGCTACTTTTCCTCTATTTGCAAAAAAAAAAAAAATTAATAGCCCGCAGCAGTTCTAGCTACCATAGAAACAATTAAACTGAAACTTCAAAAGGGAATGAGAGGAAGAAAAGCATTCTTACAGCCCAGCAACTGTGTAACCAATTTGATGTGGGAGGAAAAAGAGGATGTGCCTCAGTAAGACACTTCGCAGACTGTTGAAATATGGCTTTATATCTTACATTTATGCTTAACATGAGAGGATATACAGTACTGTCACTCTTATGACCAAGATAGACAGTTGACATTACCTACTTCTATGAGTCTACAGCAGGGGTAAAATCTACTTACCTTCCCTACCGGTTCAGAAATGTACCCACCCCGCCCATACACATCATGTGTCCGCTTGGACCCTCTGCGCATGCGCAAACCTTTTTGAACATGCACAGAGGGTAAAAAACAGGTTACTTCCTGGTTAAAACCAGGAAGTAACGACGACTGGGCGGGTGGGCGGAGCCTTGCGCTGCTGTCACTACCGGTTCTCCAAACCACTGGCCGCCATCGCTACTGATTCGGCTGAACCAGTCTGAACCGGTAGCATTTCACCCCTGATCTACAGATCTGCCACTTCTTTATACAAAAAAATCAAGCAATTACCCGATGGCCAATCTCAAGAGGGCAACATTAGTTCTGCTAATAGGAAATGGAATACTGTACTATATCATCATTCGTACCACAGAAAGGTTCGATCCAAGGAAACTATACCACAGAAATACAATAGGTAATTGTAAGAACTGATACCCTACTTAATGAAAAGATTAGTCTCTACAGTTGAAATAACAGAATAGCACTAATTAATTTGGAAGGATTAATATAATAAAGGGGGCAAAAATTATATTAGAATGCAAACAAGGGAGTTTACCAAATCTTTCTGCAGTACAATTATATACATATGTTCATAGCACGCCATGATTTAGATTACATAGATTCAGATCTATGATATGTAAATTATCAGTCCCCTGGCCATCAAAGGAATTTAGATTATCTGTAATATCTGCTAGTTTTGAAAGTCATGTTTTTTCTCCTCTAATCAATTCAGTCAGCCCTGCATTGATAGCATTCTTGTGATTCATATATTTATATCTTTTAAATTAAACATTATATGAAGTTAATCTGATATGTTTTCTTTAAAAAAAAATAAAGCATCCTCGAAATTTATGAGCAATAGCTTCCCAGCAGCTTTGCAAAACTTGGAAAAATCAAGATCATTAAAATTCTCTCTAGATAATTTTCAAATCAGTAGCATATTTTCTCTTGTTCTACGTCTGTCTGTCTGCATGTCTGTCTGTCTGTCTGTCTGTCTGTGTCTGTGTCTGTCTGTCTGTCTGTCTATGGTGTAATTTTGTGAATTATTGCATTGGTAAATGAATAATAAGAAAAACAATATTTGCTGAACTGATATAAATTTCAATCTATGGCATCTATAATGGGAACATTGACATCACCTAGGACCATAATGGAAAACAACCCTTAGAATTTACAGTGCAATAACCTATAATTTACCTTGTCTGCCATGATCATAGAAGAGCCTCCATGGATTCCTAGAATGGGTGTGAGGGTCTGGGCAGAAATGAAGTCCAGGATTTGGGCAATAGCTTCCTGGTCAGTATCATCAGCAAACACCACACCTTGCACCCTCCGTTCAGACATGATATCGCAGATGCGAGTGATGATGCTCTTGGGATCTGTTTCATTCATGGCAACGAGTTCCACCCGAGGTATGAGAGAGAGGTGATGGAAATCATCCTTCTTGTGGGCATCTGTGATAGCTACTTCATCAGAGGTACCCACCAAGATGACAGCAATGCCAATGCTGGGATGGTTCTTTTGAGCCCAAGCCATACCGCCTGTTGTTGCTAAGACTGCCAGCATAAGCCAGAATTTTGAAGAATAGCACTCTGCTCTGGGCCTCATCTTCAGCTCTTACACTCCCTGAAATGAGACAAAAAATTAAAAGTTTCAATAACGTATATATAAATCACAGAGATTTAGGCATTCACAAGCATACCCTGTTAGCCACGTTAGTTATAGAAAGAGCTGTGGTGGCGCAGTAGTTAGAATGCAGTATTGCAGGCTTATTCTGCTGACTGTCAGCAGTTCGATCCTGACTTCCTTCCTTTACTTTGTGAATAAAAGTATGTGGGGGAGGACTAAGGCTCTGATCAGGATGAGAATAATCAAAACTGTAGTCACTAATTATTGTTCTACCTTAAAATCACATGCTGAGACATTAATGTCCTATGGTGATCCTTGTGAAATTATTTTAGCTACAGCCCTAGATTATAATTAAATTCATTTTTGCCTTGCCTCTCATTTGTTTTTCCAAAACAACTTGCCAGCAGCTTCCTCTCCCCCAAAATAATTCAAAAAGAAGATAAGAAAGAATCCTGTGGCAATAAAATGTCTCTCCTATCAACTTGGTGTTCCTTCAAGAAAGTTTGAGGTATTCTTTTTTTGATAATTTTAATTATAAATTATAAAGGTAAATTAATACTTTCACAATATGGAATTGTAGTGAAAATGTCTTCCGTCAATACTAACTTTTTTGAAATAATCCACTGGCTTCAGGGTCAGTTATGTTTCTTGTTTTATTTTTCAAGAACTGATACTGGTTGCCTTAGTCTCAAATCTTAAAACTGGTAGACTTCAAACTAATGGAATAGCTGATATATTCTGATTCATGCCTTGGAAATGTTGTCTTTTTCTAAACAATGAAATGATGAAGACTATGAGGTCATCAGTGCAACCCTACTAATGCCACAGTCCTCCCTTCAGGACACTTTATCTTGTTTTAATAACACTGAGCTCTTTTCATCTGCAAAGCACTTTCCAAGTCACAGCTAATTAATCCTCATAGTACCTCGGTAGCATACATATTGTTATCATTGTGTTCCATGTCTGAAAATCATAGCATTGAGGTTTACCTTGTACATTTTGAGCCTTCTTTTATCACCAAAAAATAGTAGTAACTGGCATGTAATCTGATGTTCAGGCCATAGATCCCTGTTACTTACTTTGTTAATATGAAATCCTGAAATGATTGGAAAGTAGTACTATTCAAATCTAAAATCTGGCCTAATTCTCCTTCTGTGGTGATTTATAATATATCACAAGTGGTCAGATTACCATTAAATTCTAAAAGCTCTTTTCTTTCAATTACATCAGAAGTTAAGAGCTCAGGGCAACTTGCATAATCTCTTTGATTATAATCCATCCCTAGATTCACCATTAGATTCCAGATAAATATCAAGAGCCAGAGGGGAAAACATTACTGACTGCACTGAAGGGAACCTCTTTACTAATAAAGTAAGTGAGAGGAACCTAATACAGTTTTATATTTCATTTAGTCCAGGGGTTTCAAACTCAAGGCCCAGGGACCAGATCTGGCCTGCAGGGCTGCCCTGGAAACAGCAAAGGACTGGCCCGCGGTGCATCTGCCAGCAAAAATGGAGCTGGGGAGGGTGGCCTTCCGGAGCTCCATTTTTGCTAGCAGAGGGTTTCAGGAGGCCGTTGCAGACAAAAATAGAGCTCGGGAGCCCATTTTTGTTGTCCAGGCTGCCCTGGCTGCCCTGGAAGCAGCGAAGGAAGTAGCTAAAAATGGAGCTCAGGAGCATATTTTCACTGACAGAGCGCTTGGGCCACCACAGGAGCCCCTGACATGAGTGACTTTGAGCTGGCCATGCCCACTCCAGCCACGCCCACCCCTGCCTATATCAGTACTGATGTTACTGCATGGCAGCAATTTTCTCAGTTCTATTTAGACTAAATCAGAGGTGTCAAACTTGATTACATTTGAGGGCCACATCAGGGTTGTGCTTGACCTTGGGGGGGAAGGGGGGCATGGCCAGGGGGGACATGGCCAGCTCAACGCTACTCATGTTGGGGGTGCCTGTAGAGGCCCGAACACTCTGCCAGTGAAAACATGCTCCTGAGCTCCATTTTTAGCTGCTTCCTTCGCTGTTTCCAGGGCAGCCCTGCAGGCCAGATCTAAGCACCCCATGGGCCAGATCTGGTCCCTGGGCCTTGAGTTTGACCCCCATGCCCTAGAGGATGCTGTCACATCATATGCACCCAGGGATCAAATCCACTTGCCAAACATGAAAGGAAAGAGTGCATGAAATATCTACTGACATCTCCAAACAAGAAGACCTTGAGAATCTGACAAAATTTATTGCTAATTTGAGCAGGGCAGAACTGTTGCCATCAGATTGGTTGTTGATTGATTATATGTCATCAAGTTATGTCAGCATTTAATTACCACATAGATAGACCTGCTTTGATGATCAGTTCCTAAACTAGCCCTTCAAATCTTGCAATTGTGTATCCATTGTTCCTGGAATCAAACCCATTTATATATTTCCTTCCACGTTTCTCCATATTGTACACTTATTCGAATAATGTCTCTAAATATAATAATTTGAGCCTGATCATTTGTACCTCAAATGAGAACTCTGAATTAATTTGTTCTATGATCCATTTGCTTACTTCCTTGGCTATCCCTGGTATTCTTGGGAGTCTTCTCCAAAACCACAGTTCAAAGTATCAATTTTCTATCCTGATTCTTCAAAGATAGAATGACACTCCATAGAGTGACAGAGAAAAACTACTGCCTGCATGATTCTGATATTTGTAGCTACAGGCATGTCACTGCATCTGAATATCTTTTCCAAGTCCTTCATTGCTAACCTACAATTGTTCATCTGTTTGCTATTTCTCTGCTGCTTGTTCCTTTACTGTTGATAATCAGTTGTAAACACTGACGCCGTTCACTACTTTAATATCTTCATTGTCTGTTGATTTTTAATTAATTATTAATATATATATAGTAACCATCTTAATCAATACCTCTAGGTGGCTAACAAAAAAAGCATAAACATAGTATAAAAAAATAAAAGGCAACCAATTAAAAAGCATAGTCAAGGCACCCTTACAAAATCTCTAAAACATAAACCTGTCAAGCGCCAGGAAAAATCAGGAAATCCAGATAGTTCAAATGGGTATAAAGATGTATTGAGGTTTTGTGAGCTCTCTACAAGAATCTGAACTATTAATGGCCAATTAGGAAATTGGGGAAATTAGGAAAATTAGCAGGAGATAAGAGTAGAGGGAATTCAAAGTGGGCTGGACTTAAATTTTTTGTGGACATTTAGGGACTCATGACTGATGAAGTGTTTGACCCCTCCCTCGGGTCAACCTGGTCATCTCTGACAAAACCACAAGCTCACAAACTGGGCTCCAACACGTAGGAGGAAAACCAAATTCTAAAAGGCCAGTAGGGTTGGGGCCATTCAATTCTCAGAAGGAAGCTGTTTCATAGGGCAGGTACCCCAAAGAGAAGGTATGCCCAATTCCTTCACTGGAGCATGCCCGCTCTGCCAGATCTGGTGGGATGGACCAAAAATACTAGAGACAGGCAATCCTGCAAATAACCTGCCCCTGCCATTTAGTCCTTGAAAGATAATAACCAGCACAATGAATTACACTCAGAAACCTACTGGAAACTAGAGCAGTTCCATACAGCATTGAAGTTACACGGGCACGTCATGGTGCATTCAAAACTGCACATGCCACAGCTTTCTAGACCATTTGAAGCTGCCAAACATTTTTCAAGGACAGCCCCATGTAGAGCATATTACAGTAATCCAGACAGAAAGGGATTAAGGCACCAGTGACTGAGAGCAGTCCTCTCAATCAAGGAATAGGCTCAAGTGGCACAAAATGAATTTGTGCATGTAAAACTGATACACAAGATAGGAAAGGGGTGAGCTATCAGTGTAATGTTATCAGGGTAGCACAAGACATTGATATTTGTTCCTTCACTTTAGAAACCACTCTCTTCCAATTTAGTCTTCCTCAATACAGATAGGGAAGGAAGGAAGGAAGGAAGGAAGGAAGGAAGGAAGGAAGGAAGGAAGGAAGGAAGGAAGGAAATATAGCCTTGCTTCACTTCTTTCTTGACTGCAGACAGTCTCTTTTTCTATACACTGTGCCTTCTTGTCCTGTATGTGGGTGAGAACAATGATGTTCTGGGATTTCCTTTTCCTAAGCACATTCTAGTTTGACATGGTTGACACAATCAAAGGCCTTTCTATTGTTAATGAAACACACATTGACTTCTTTTGGTATTCTTTGTCCTTCTCAATTATTCAGCATGTATCAGCGATAATGTCTCTTGTTCCTCTGCATTTCCTAAAACGGGCTTGAATATCTGGCATCTCCCCTTACCCTATAGTACTCTGATTTGCATTAGACAATCTTAAGCATTTTTTTTTGTTACAATGTGAAATTAAGGATCTTTTATAACAGTTTGAACATTCTGTTAAATCATCTTTCTTTAAAAATGATGTGTAGATTGACCTCTCCCAAATCTGTTGACCACTGTGTCATTCTCCAGATCTGCTGGCATAGTTTGGTTAGAAAGTTTATTGATTATTCTCCTTTTGCTTGCCATATTTTATAGATATTCCATCAATTCCTATAGCCTTCTGACTTCAAAATAACCAAAGAGCCAATCTCATTCTAGTAGTTGTAAGCAGGGAATATATTTTAAGACAGTGGTTCCCAATCTTTGCGGCTTGGCAGCCCGGCTGAGGGGGGGGGAGGGAAACTGGGACACGCAAACCCTAGGCCAGTGCACACGTGCGTTATTGCCCGCCAGCCCGCCACTTTGCACAAGTTGAGCTGCATGCTGGCCAGCCACTCATGTGGCCCAATTCCAAACAGGCCATGGCCTGGTAGTGGCCCGCCAACCCAGGAATTGGGGACCCTTTCTTTAAGACATCTTGGATGTTAAGATCTCTACTGTATAAAATTTCAATGTACTCCTATCTTTATTTTAGCTTCTTTACATTGGTTATTATCTACCATTGACTTCCTTTAGCACACCATTTAGATTTTCTTTGTTTTTTCAATGTCTGTTTCCATCTTTGATG